CTGACAGGATTGATGCTGCGGTCCTGTACGTCTGCAGGCAGAGAACAGAGCCTGGAGAGACAGATGTCTAACTGAAAATGCAAGGAAAGCCGGGAAAATCCCAGGTGTGTTAATGTAATGAATATACTTGGTAACTTGCTGGTTTGGGCTGGATTGTCACTTAGGCTTCCATACTCTGCCATATACAGGAAAGTGTCAGATATTTTTTTCAGGTTCAGGAATATCGCTAATATTCTGATTGGTTGCTATGAGCAGACAGCCGCCTCCAGAACACTCTTCCTATATGAGACATGAAGCTGCAGTGACCACAGAAAATATCTCATCCATGAGAAACAGAGATGATTGGCTGGCTGTGGCTCTGGAGACATGAAGATCCCTCCTGTATATGGATGGGACCCTGCCGGAAAAAGCTGCTGCTTATATGACTTATCCATCAAGATGTTGCTGGACACATGGCAGCCCTTCTTGCCTTATTGGTAAAAAGAAAGGAACACAGAACAGGAAATGACATCACAACTATGTAGTTCTGCTAGAAAGAACATTCCATTATACAAGGATCTAACATAACACACACTACCACCTAGTGGCAGAACGACTAATCACAGTACAATATATGAGAATAGTTGTTGCACCCATGTCTGTACACACAGCATGCCAACAGACACATAATACGGTATAATAGGATGTTATAGGGAGTTCCAGAATCTTATTGCCAGGCTTCTCCCATTATTAGGCCAGCCAGGTCACATATGGGTTGCCTTTATTGGACTGATCAGACATGCAAGAGAAGTTTCAGATGTGTCACATTGAATGTAAATGTTGGAACTGGGAGCACATGGTGTGCAGTGGGTACATGAAGGATATGGCATGCATGCCCTGTTATCAGGATAGTATATATCACTGATTAACTGACATCCTGCCTTGCTCATTGTCCCTATTGTGGAATATTTACTGTGTACATACAAAACTGCCAGCAGCGACCCCATGAGCATTTAGCTGGGTCATTAAAGGGCCACACCACCCACATCTGATGCAGTTATAGACTCTGAGATTCCAGATGGTTTTTAGCAGATCTCTAATTATACAGCATTACTTTTTATGGCACCTACTGTATATGTAAACCCAATCACTCCTAGACTTGTTAACATGTTTCTGTCTTTTCAAAAGTTGTTTTCCATCTGTTTAAATATGCAGCATTCATTACAATAATCTCTGGTGATCCTGCTATGAGGATTCTGGTTCAGGCACTTCCTGTTATAGGGTGACAGCGCTATGTCACTGTGCATCAATTGTGCTCTTGTGTTGTCACACAGGTCTCTGATGAAGACTACAAGTGGCTGTTTCAACACACAATATACAAGCATGGTCCACTGTTATTACCATCAGGAAATCCGCTCTGAGAAATGCCATACAGCCATCGCTTGGGGGGGGGGCATGTGGACAGGAAGTGACTGCAAAAGGGTCTGCAGGTGATCAGCAGCAGTGATGATATGGAATAGGATAAAAAAAAGTGAAAACAAGGATTTTATTTTTAAAATTACAATTATGATACAAAATACACAGAGCAAGTGTCAACCAGTTTTACATGATCTACTTTCATGAATTTTTTGCATTACCCAAACTTCGTGTACCAAAAAAAAACATCTCATAACTTCCATTTACTATTCATTAGAAGCTCCCAGTCTTTTGCACCTGATCCATTATCTCCCCAACCCCAGAGGGCTCTCCGACATGAGGATCACCCAATCACTCCATGTATATGATGAGCAGTGCACACCAGTGGAGCCCTCTAGTGGCTGTCAGCACCATTGCCTGTCTTACTCCCTCTCCAGCTTAGTGGAACATTGTACACACATTGCACACACATTGTACACGCTTCTCACAGATGTCAGAGCTAATTCCTGATCCGTTCTACTGAGCACAGCCAACATTTCAGCGTGTGAGAACAGGACAGCTGGACGGAGGAGGCTGCGTGCCTTCACTTGGGGATAATTATGTCCTTTATTTACCAAGGAACAGGTGCTGCGCCCGGCGTCGCAGCGTCCGGCAGAGGGTCCAGTTGTGTGACATTGATTTTTTTTCATGCCACGCTTTGAAAATATGCAAAATGACAGAAGTTTAAGTTAATGGACTGAAGGAAATTTGCAATGTGTAGGTAAAGTAGCCTGAGCTGTAAAGAGAATGGGACATGTATCAGGTCTGTTCTATCTCATCAGCCATTGAGGGCTAGAAGAGGCCGGTGAGAGATTCTCCTCTACACCATCGTCATTGTTCAGATCGTCAGTCCTCAAAGTCTCCATATTCTGTCTCATTTTTTATCTATAAATATTATTAACACTTCTAATGATTTTATTTTAAGGTGACCAGATTTTCAAAATGCAACTTGGGGACACCCTAATGACCACATCCACTTTCCTCAGGGGTGGGGCCAGGGTGGAGATAATAGCATGCCACACCAAATGTTGGGTGTGACCAAACTGTGCTAACAGTGGGAGGGACTTAAAGGGGTTTGAGTGAAGTCCCAGGTATGTACTGCACGTCACTGCCCACAAACAAGGGCAAATAATACATATTCTTACCTCCCACATCATCAAGAGGGATGTAACTGGGAAGAACAGCTAAAATCAGCACGTGACATCATCAATAAGTCCTAGTTCACATCTGTGTGGTTGTGCGGGCTGCGATTTACGCAGGTACGAAAACCCATTCATATGAATGGACTCCCATGCCCCGGGACATGCAGAGAAGAAGTCCCTTCAATACTTTGGAAATTGCAGCCCGCATGGGAACTGAGGTTACCAGTATGGTTGTGATCTCCAGTGCGGGCGGCGTGCCATTGGAATTAATGGCACCCACCTGTGGGTCCCGCATTCCTATGTGTGGGTGGTGCGGGTGCAGGTATTTGTGCGGGTCCCACAGCGGCACCACCCGCACAGATGTGAACCAAGGCTAACTCAAAATCCAGGAGCAGAAACAACCCTCCCCTCCCCTGCCTCTCCTGCTCCAGGCCAATCATAAAAATGTTGCTGAATTGGATTATCCTGCAGCCTCCAGGGCAGGGGATGTCATTATTAAAGCTGGAAAGAAATTGGGGGCACATTCTTTAACCAGGGATGAAATTGGAGACATTTTATGGCCCCCTAAAATTGTGGACTGTCTTCGGAAACTGTGAATGTCTAGTCACCCTGATCTATTTATCAAGGCATAGTCATGCCAGTACATGTATGTGAAGTCCACTGATTTACAATCCAAAATAGGAGCTACTGTATAAAAGTTAGTTATACAGATCTGCTTGTGTTGAATAGGGAGGACTGAAAGATCCATAGTACAAGTACAAAGTAATAACTGGAATATGAAATTGTCATATACATTTTTTTTTTTTTTCAGAAAAAAGGATTTGTTTTCTGCCCATCCAGCCCTGAGATTTACACAGCTCAGCTCTGTGTAACAGGGTAGGAAACCCAATCTTCCCTCTGCTGCAGTTGCACTTTCACATACAGACCCTCCTTTCACCCTAGGACTGGATAGTGAAAGGAGAGGTAGCACTCTGATGAGCTCACTTCTCTGTCACTCTGCTCTCCCCTCCAATCAACATATTCTGTACACTGCAGTACAATTTATATGCTCTTTGCCCCCCCCCCCCCCCCCCTTCCCCCCAAGCTCTGCTGTACAGGGATTAAAAGAGACTGATATAAAGGTCCTGTTTTTGCTATTTAAAAATTAAATTCAATAATGTATAATAGAGCTGCATAATGGGTGTCTTTTTATATCTGCTTTATGTATAAAAGTAGTAATAGTTGGAGAAAGACATAGCGATGCTGGCGCAGATTTTTTAGTTTTGCTCATTGCATATCAATAAAAAAAATGATTTCCACTTTTCCATTCATAGAGCTCAGTGGAGATCACCTACTTATGGACATCTGAATGGAAGTTCCAGAGGAGCCCAAAGGGGGGTGTGAAGCTATATAAGGAGGTGTGCCCCTACTTTTGTGGACAATAAAAGGTAATATCTAATATTTATTTCAATGTTTTATAAACAGGGTGCTCACGTGGCATCACTTTTATGGTGACAGTCACATGACCCCTCCCATGTCTACTTTGTCTGCTAAGTGGCAGTTAATTGAAGGAGTACACACTGAGGATTGGGCTATGCACAGTAATAATAGAAATTCTTTCCAGTTTGGGAACTCTGTTAAACACTGAGTTAGAAAATAAATAGATAAGGAGAGATCGTGTTGTATGTGTGTAGTCCTAGACATGATCAGAAGTCTTGGCGATGAGGAAAATCCCGCAGAAGAAGATATAAGCAGTTGCCTGGCTATAGTATCAGCTACACAGCGCAGGCTCACTCTGACATTTCACGGCTCCCCTGGGTAGGGCTCAGCCTGCAATGAAAACCAGAACTTCACAGTAAGTGTCAGCGGAGAAATCAGCTGGAGGTTACAATGATCCATACATTCCATATACTACAGGAAAGAGCCCAGCACAGTACATGCTATGGATTATTTACCAGTCAATTGTAGGATGCTTTCATCTGCAATGCGGTAAAACATGTTTTACTATGTAATAAAACAATGCAAGGTAACGCATGGTAGTCCAACATGCAAGGAAAGCAGCTGGCAATGTACATGCACTGCAGCACCCCAAGACGCACATGCTATGCGTTTTGGAGTGTTGGCAGCCAATGCAAAGTGAATGGGCTGCCATAACACAGACCATATTAACACACAGAACAATGCATACCAACATGTGCACGGTAATGTACTGCAACACAACGGAAGGGTATAAGGGGACCCTTGATGATACCAATATACAGTTGATGCGCCTTTGTTCTTGCATGATATGTGCGTGGAAAATCCCTCACAGACCTCAGACAGACCCAAAAGCATTGGAGCAAAATCATGTTTTTATTTTAGGCATACTGACCACTTAGCCAGCCAGAACATATGCCGAACACTCCATAGCAAAGCACATTTCAGTCACACATTCCCAGTACACACTGTTGCTTGTGCACATGTGCCTGCATACGTGGCAGGCACATAGCAAACATCATTTGTAAAGATGATTTGTGTATACGTACAGTCAGGGGCAGACTGACAACTCATGGGGCCCCCAGGCAATAGGGGATCATGGGGCCCCTGTGTCCTTGCCCACACTCAAAAAAAGCCTATAAAAAGTAACCAGAAGCATTTCATGGGGCCTCCTACTGACCCCGGGCCCTCAGGCAGTGCCCGAGTTCTCAAATGGTCAGTCCGCCCCTGCGTACAGTACATCTACACTCTATTGCCAGAAGTATTGGGACACCCCTCCACATCATTGGATTCAGGTGTTCCAATCACCTCCATGGCCACAGGTGTATAAAATCAAGCACCTAGACATGCAGACTGCTTCTACAAACATTTGTGAAAGAATGGGTCGCTCTCAGGAGCTCAATGAATTCAAGCGTGGTACCGTGATAGGTGGCCACCTGTGCAATAAGTCCATCCGTGACATTTCCTGGCTGCTAAATATTCCACAGTCAACTGTTAGTGGTATTATAACAAAGTGGAAGCAACTGGGAACAACAGCAACTCAGCCACGAAGTGGGAGGCCACGTAAAATGACAGAGCGGGGTCAGCGCATGCTGAAGCGCACAGTGTGTAGAAGTCACCAACTGTCTGCAGAGTCAATAGCTAAAGACCTCCAAACTTCATGTGGCCTTCAGATTAGCACAACAGTGTTTAGGGAGCTTCATAGAATGGGTTTCCATGGCCGAGCAGCTGCATCCAAGCCTTAAATCACTAAGTGCAATGCAAAGCGTAGGATGCAGTGGTGTAAAGCACGCCGCCACTGGGTTCTAAAGCAGTGGAGATGTGTTCTCTGGAGTGATGAATCATGCTTCTTTGTCTGGCAGTCTGATGGATGTGTCTGGGTTTGGCGGTTGCCAGGAGAACGATACTTGCCTGACTGCATTGAGCTAAGTGTAAAGTTTGGTGTCGGGGTATTATGATGTAGGGTTGTTCTTCAGGGGTTGGGTTGGCCCTTTAGTTCCAGTGAAGGGAAGTCTTAAGGCGTCAGCATACCAAGACATTTTGGACAATTTAATGCTCCCAACTTTGTGGGAAGAGTTTGGGGATGGCCCCTTCCTGTTCCAACATGACTGCGCACCAGTGCACAAAGCAAGGTCCATAAAGACATGGATGAGTGAGTTTGGGGTGGAGGAACTTGACTGGCCTGTACAGAGTCCTGACCTCAACCCCATAGAACACCTTTGGGATGAATTAGAGTGGAGACTGCGATCCAGGCCTTCTCGTCCGACATCAGTGCCTGACCTCACAAATGTGCTTCTGGAAGAATGGTCAAACATTCCCATAGACACACTCCTAAACCTTGTGGACGGCCTTCCCAGAAGAGTTGAAGCTGTTATAGCTGCAAAAAGCGGGCTAACTCAATATTGAACCCTACGGACTAAGACTGGGAAGCCATTAAAGTTCATGTGCGTGTAAAGTCAGGCGTCCCAATACTTTTGGAAATATAGTGTATGTATACATTTCAGTAAACCAAACACCCTGTGTGATCAACTGTTTTTATATTTCTTATTTCTCCTCAGGGTTTCTGATAAGCTGTCAGGTCCCCTATAGTTGTTCATTGACTATCATTACCAACATGGCATCAGTCACGTCCTGGCTGCATGTGAATGGTGACGTCAAATGTCTAACCAGTCTTGAGGCTTATTTGCAAGACTAAAAGGGCATGTCAAGGCACAAAAAAAAAAAATCATTATCAGTACATCTCTGCAATACATGCACAGTTCCCCTGTGTCTACCCATAAAGACCTTGTGAGTACAGAACAATACCTGTTGATCTGCCATAAATGCACTCAACTCGATGACAACACACAGCATATTTTGTGGACTGAGCAGTATCAGCCCTATCCAACTGTCTTTTATTAAACTACTCAACACCCACCCACCATCCTATTTTCCATGACATGGGGACTAATCATTCTGTAGTCCAAGAGAAGAGATAATGGAAGAGATGTGCACAGGAATGCTCTGAATTTCTAACATGGTCAGCAAATATATTTTTTGCAGAGATATAATGTCCTGGCCACTAAAGGCTGCTTTATGCATTGACATACCTCCTTAGACCTAGTTCCTCTGGACAATATGGTAACCTGCTGACTTTGCACCATTCACAGGCAGCTTAACTCTTCAATAAGACACAGAAGTTGAATCTGATCAGTTTTACTTCTGCTGATTGCAGTACAGATGATGTTTTTCCAGTCTTTTGAAATCTGAGAAAAACTGGAGAGCGCAAAATCTGGTGCAGCTCTGCATAGAAACCAATCAGCTTCCAGGTTTTATTGCCAAAGGTTAAAGTGGTTGTAAAGACTCAAGGTTTTTTACCTTCATGAATTTTTTATGTGAAGGTAAAAAACCTTCCTTGTGCAGCAGTGCCCCCAGCCCCCTCAATATTTACTTGAGCCCCATCGAGATCCAGCGTTGTGCATGACAGCCTTGGTTGTCCCGGGTCACTGCCTCCTCACTGGCTCCCACTGCTGTCAATCACAGCCAGTCAGCCAATGAGGAGAGAGAGAGGTCGGGGCCAGGTTGTGGCTATGTGTGTGTATGAACACGCAGAGCAGCAGGTGCCCCAAAGCAAGCTGCTTGCTGTAGGGGCACCCAACAGAAAGGAGGAGAGGAGCCAGGAGAGCCTACGGCGAACCCGGGAAGAGTAGGATCCAGGCTGCTCTCTGCAAAACCACTACACAGAGCAGGTAAGTATAGACATGTTTGTTATTTTACAGAAAAAGAAAATAGCCTATCAGCTTCTAACTTCAGCTTATTCAGTTAAAGTGATACTAAAGGTTACCATGCACAGCTGCACCAGATTCTGAGTGTGCCAGTTTTAGTAAATCTACCCCTATGACTTTCCTAAGCCCTGTCTATGCAAATAACACTGACTGTGGGAAATGGGGAGGGTCTAGCTTGGACTAAACTATCTAGCACTAAATAGAAGGGTAGGACAGAGGAAAATACCAAAATCACATAGTAAACCAGTTGTAGTGATCCAAACCCGCCACTAGATGTCAGCATACTACAAAACAATAATAACCTTATGTAGTTCAATACAGCACAGAAAAAAATACATGAAGGCGGGACAGAACATTTCCAGTAGGATATTACACAGATCAAAAGGGAGCAGGTATGAGAGGTTCATTTTTAGTGTTTACATACATTTTAAAGTGACCTTCTCAACCATTTTGAACTTCCAAAAGTAAAAGTCCCGCCTTAGCGTTAATGTCATTCGGTTCCTGCTATATCATTCGTTAACCAGAAACTCCTCCCCTGTGCACCTCTGATGTTGGGGTTTTGAGTTCTCATTGAAGTGGGTGTAAAAAGGATTTCTAACCTCTTAACTTTATGTAGTGACTTATGAAGCCCATGTCGTCACCAGCCTGGGAACATACTAGGAAGACATGGAGTGACACCGCAGTGACAGCGATGCGGTCACATCATAAAAAGGTCATCCATGTAGAGGTGACCCGCCCTCCGCAAATACCATAAACCTCACAAGTCTTAACCTCCGTTCTGGGAGCGCTGGGATTGTGGTTTCATGATTCACCAGGAAAGAACGGAACCAATTACAGGGCAATGTAGAGCTAAATCTCGAGAGAACGTGTGAATGTGGACACACCACTTCTTCTGGGAACCATCAAAGGCTTTCAGACTTCTATAACTGTACACTAGATGTTCTCAGGTCAGTTTAATAAGACCATGCAAAGAAAACGATGAACAGCAACGTGCATTAATCCACAGCAAGCAGATTTCACCTTACTGAAGGACCTTGTCTTTATGATGAATGCTGCTTGACTGCTGAGGGTCACCACATTCCACCCTTTGTGGTACTGAATAGCTCCGCATTGATAAACAGAAACTAGTGGCTAATCCTGGCTGTAGATGGATCGAAATTCAGCTGGCTGAGCTGGAACCTGACAAATTCCCTTCCATCTATGGGCAGGCCGGTTGTACTGAAGTTGACTGAATATCAACTGACTTCTTCTCAACCAGCCTGTTGGGGTTTTTTTTTTTCGTTTGATCACTGCCAGAACCTATAGCCGCCAGCAATGATCATTGTATTCTAACGGCAGGGAGACCTCCTGATGTCAAAATACAATCGCTTCATGGAGGGATTCCCCTATTGACAATGTTGATGGGAGAATTAAGCAATTTTAAATTCTTCACCCCATGGTTAACCACTTGCCCTCCAGAGGATTTACCCCTCCCTTCCTGATCAGGCCATTTTTTGCAATACGTCGCTGCGTTACTGTAACTCACAACTGCGCGGTCATGTAACACTGCACCCAAATTAAAGTTACGTCCTTTTTTTTCCCCACAAACAGAGCTTTCTTTCAGTGGTATTTGATTGCCTGTGCGGTTTTATTTTTTTGCGTTATAGAAAAAAAAACTGACAAATTTTAGAAAAAAAACATTATTTTTGACATTTTTGCAATAAAATATAAAAAAAATTAAAAAAATAAAATTTCGGCTAAAATGTATTCTGCACCATGTCTTTGCTAAAAGAAATCCCAATACGTGTAAAATTGGTTTACGTGAAAGTTATAGCGTTTACAAATGGCGGTATAGATGTTGGAATTTTTTTTTTCATACTAGTAATGGTGGTGATCAGCGACTTATAGCGGGACTGCAGTGGGAATTCTGACACTGGGGAGGGGGGGGGGACTGACTGCCACTGACTTCCCCAGTGACTCTAATACAGTGATCAGTGCTAATAAAAAGCACTGACACTGTACTAATGACACTGGGCAGGAAGGGGTTAATATCTGTGGCGATCAAAAGGTTAACTGTGTGCTGTTTTACTGTGTATGCATGCTGCTTTGAATTGCTCTGCTATGCAGAGCAATACAAAACCGTATGCTGGTGCTGACAAGGGGAGATCTGTATTGTTTACATACAGACCTCTCCCGTCACTGTTCCTCGGTGATCGCCTGGTGCCGGCGGGGAATCTCCATCTGGGACCCGGTG